ATGTGCACTAAAAACAGAATGAGATTTTTATTCATTTATTTTTCTAAATTCAGATAAACATTTAAGACACTACCTGCACTTTCATTTTGAATGTGTGCAAAACTGTCAAAATCATGTTAATGTTAGGGGGGGAAAAAACGACAATTTTGCAACTGCAGCGCTTCCATTAAATAAGAAACACAATTAAAATCCTGAATAAATAATTTTGTTCATGCAATAAGTCACTAAAAACATGTCTCATCATCTTCCTCCAACTACTTCCTGTCATCTTCTTCTTTGTGATTTCTGCCAGTGGTAACGTCCGCTTGTTGATCGTGTTGTGCAAAAAAAAATTGTTTCCATTGCAAACTAATTTTGATATGGCCAAACCCCCCCACCTCATCCAAGCACCAAAACTTTTTTATTGAAAAAGGAGTTTTTTTTTCCGAAACCGACATGTTTCCATTGAGAAATGTTCTAAATATGAAATTGTGCCATTGTAAGGTCAATGGGAGCGCATATAATAACTGCTTATCACTGTAAAAGGTCTTCAGCGCTGAGACATTTCACTTTTAGACTTAACACAGATAGTTTTGACAGGACATTTAAAATAACATCAAAGCAAATAAATACTTCTATCATCAATCAGCACTAAAAATGTACATCTGAACCTCCCTTGGGTGTTAAAACAAGTAAGAAAAAAAACATCATTATGCAACCTCCACTTATATGTACAGACTCTAAAAGAGGTGGAAGTAAGTCACGTAAAAATGCCTCTGAAGTGCTCAGACTGTCACAAAAATAACCCAGATTTGCAGCCATTTGGATTAATTAACGATATTTAGGTTGGCAGCAAGCACTCCAAGTCTGTGTGAGTTAATTGAATGAGACACCCTTTTTTCTTATTTGGCTAATCTGTGTGTCAACAGGAAATAAACGGATATAATTAGAAATGCCAGTAACGTCTGTCTCCCGTTTAGATGGAAGTTTTAAGGCTGTATTAAGGTTTCTTAACGCGGCGTCTTCGTGAACCGTGGACACCCAACTGGGAATTAATTATTTCAAATGAGCTCCAGCAAAGCTTGTCCCGCTGGTAAAGGCCGAAGCACTCACTACTAAAAAGCTCAGTTTCTTTGTACACAATTAAAATATAAGAATGTTTTTTTAAACTACAATTAACTTCTACTTTCTTTTTGTTTATAAGTTTAACCTCAATAAGGAAGGCGACTGTGGTTTTGCTTTGGAATAGCTGTTGTAAAAATCAATGCCTGCTAGCAGTGACATTTTTCCTCCTCTCTTTTCTTCCATTGTTAATTAAGCAATGATGGGATACTCTAGGGGAGATGGTAATTGACACAGATTGTGAGTTTTACTGACATGCAAGTTAGATGAGGTGTTAAGTTTGTGTTCTCTGTCCCAACGGGGAAAATTATCTTGTTCCCTTTTTTTTCTTGTCTCACTTTAACATTATTGAATCTATGTGGAGAAAAAAAAAAACACTTCACAGGGTCTAAAGTTTAAAGGTGCTGAGGTGCCTGAAGACGAAAGTCCCCTTTAAATGAGCTTCTAGTTAGGACGCTAAATAATGAAAAGTAGGTTTGCTATAGTCATGAATCTCTTGATAAAGTCTGTTGCCTTGTTTTAGTTGTGTGTGTGTTTTTAAGTACAACTTAATGAATTTCATACACTCACCAGCCACTTTAATAGGTACATCTTCCAAGGATTGGGTTGGACTGTTAGGCGGTCAGAATTTCCTCAAGGAAAAATTACTGGAGTTCAGTGAACTCATTCAAGAAAAACTTGGAGAATATGAGCGATATCATGAAGGAATATAGGTACAATGTGGTCATAAAGGGATGGACAGTCAGCAAAAATAGCCAAAAATATGGTGTGATATTACGATCAAAATTAGGAATATTGCTCGACCAATGGTTGGTACTTCCTTGTAATAGGAAGCTGTATTTCCATTCCAAAGCCAGCTACTAATCTGGTTAATGAAAGGCTGGGACCAGTAACTGAGCCACCAGCAATGGCCAATGCTAACATATGCTAACAATGAAGAGGCTAGTGCCCAACATGCCAAGAGTGGTTCCACTGGATTGACTGCTTAGCACGAACAGACTGGAGGTAGCTTTGGAGAAGTTAACATTTAGTATGCCTCAACTGGTCACCTACTCGTACATTTATTTGTAAAGAAAACTATCAAGAAAAGGTCGACATACAACGTCTGTAAACGATACGCACTGGTTGGATTGTTGCGTGTTCCTTTGACAGAATTTACTGTAATCCAACATGGCATCAGGCCTAAAAATTAAAGACACAAATATCAAACAAAGAAAGTAAGATCTATATCAGTTACTGGCCAGCAAGTCATTAGTCTTTCCAAAGCTAACACAGGCCAAGCCATGCTAATGGTCAGCAGAGGGACAAGGCAATCCTGTGGTTACCAGGTTTCTAAAAAGTAGCTGTTGTGGTTGTGCGTGATACTGGGGAAAAAGTCGACTGTTTTTGTGTTTGTCTTAATTAATTTTTTAAAAATTATCTTGCATGTTTTCAGCCAGTGATTGGAGACGTCACCAGCTTCTCCAGTGCCAACTTAAGTAGTCTCCTCCTCTGTTATCGGTGAAAGCATATATTTATGATTTCACAATAGATGTAGGGAACAGGGAAGTAGCTACCGCCGGGAGCACAATAGTCTTTATTTTGAGTCAAGTACCGTGCCATAAAATCCATGTGGTTTAAATGATGCTAGTTTTGAATTTAAAAAGTATAATGCAACAAAATGTGAACGGGAGATGTTTTGTAATTACCCAAATGTTCGTTTGATGCCATCTTTTTTGTGTTTGGTATATTTTACTGTAGTTTGTCTCAATCTAGGTTGTGACAAAGAGATTTTTAGAACATTTCTCATGTGGAGATGCTCTGCTTCAACTCATAAACCAATGGTTTCATTGTGAGGAGTAAGCCAAGAGGGCCTTTTTTCCCTTTGCGTCGAAAGATGTTCATTTGTGATAACAGAGGACAGATATCAATTTGTTTTGTCCACTGTTTGGATTAAATAATTTCAATATTTCACCATAAAGCAGTGGTCTATTTTAGATCATTTACAGTCTTAACCAATTTGTTTAAACTATTTACATTTACTGATTTTTTTGTATATATTTATTGATTAGTTCATCTTTCTTGCAAGATAGGGTTAGTACATTTTCCCCTTCAGTGGAAAACGAGACATGCTGATTGCCTCAGACGCAACTGAAAGTGTGTTGATAAAGCCATCATTGTTTGTAGTGACAGTGAGATGACAAGCAGGCATGGAATGATTATTTGCAGTGTGATTATTGTTAGAAACGCAGGATAATTTCCCAGGAGAAACACCGAACAGAAGAGACATTTTTTTTCAGACTCAACTGAGTAGCAATCAAAAAACTGTTCAAAAGTGTTTTTTTTTATTTTTCCAGTTTTCAATCTTCACTTATAGTTATTTGTTTGCAATGACATGTCACTGCAACACTGGTCCACAACTTCCAGTAGAGCATGGCTTTCTATTACAGTTATTACAGTTAACTCTATGATCTATAACATCAGACCCCTTTGCGTTTCAGAGTCTCAACGGTTGATTACTGGCTTCCAAATATATATATATATATATATGATATATATATATATCAGCGACGTGCGGTAAGGTTCATAACTGGTGAGGCACCGACTTAATTATAATCAGATTTACAAATCTAGACCCTCTGTTTGTTATTGTTTACATAAGGAAATTTCGCACATGCGTACAATGCTGGAGGGCAAAAAGACTATTCTTTAACATGCTTAGCCGCGCCGCCGCCACAGAATAATTCCGTTATCCCAATCAAACTTAGACATGTAGATACTATTAATTTCATGCTGTGCTTAACAGCAAAGGGAGAAACCTTTAAAGTACAACTCAAAACCACGTCTTTCTCGCTCTCTGTATCAGCGCAGCTACTGTATGGCTAGCTCGCTGTTACTGTCTCTTACTCTGCAGTTGTGGAGTCACAGTGTTCATGAGCGCCCCCCAGTGATGAGGCACGAGAACTGCCTGCCTCACCTCGAATCTGTTCTCTGCCGTTTATGATCGCTCCTCAGCACACGAAACACGTTGCACACAGTTGGTGACAATAAAAACACAGTACATTAAATACATAAGCTAAATTATGGAAAATCAGTTCATACATTAAATATTTTTAACCATTTTATTGGTAACGTACAGACAGGAGGAGCATGCTCTCAAAGAGTGGCAGCCGGTGCAGTTGGCGAGAGGTTGCGCAGGTGAGGCTCAGCTCACTGCTGCCTCACCGGCTTCGCTTCTGAGCATTTGAATGGGAAAATGCGAAAATTCAGCGATTTTGAAGAAAAAAATAATCAGATTTGGTTAAATTAAATGAAAAAATAGGTACTTTATAGTACAAACCACAGGGTGAAAATATCTTTATAAATGATTATACTATTTATGACAGGTGAGGCTGTGCCTCACCTGTCATCAGCCTGACCGCACGTCACTGATCGTAGGTGAGCCTGTGCCTCACCTGCCTCCCCTGACTATATATATATCTGCCTCACCAGACTATATCATATATATTTGCTTTCTACTTTCATTTAATCTTTTTAGGCAAGCACAGAAAAGGTTATTGTTTAAATAACCTTTAAAAGTTTGAAACCAATCAATCCAGTTTCTAGGAGATTAAAGGCAAGACAGAGAGACAAGAAAGGCACCATAGACAGATCTGGTAAGTAGCCATCAGAGAAGGTCAAGTAAGGTTTCTTAGCCAATGGAACCACTCTTAGTGCCTTCTCTGGGTTTCCATCAGAGCAAAATCATTCATTTTTCTCATAGTGGCAAAAAAAGAAAAAAACAGTGTGACCCGAATAGCTGCAGGAGTAAACTCTTAAATGTCCATGCAGTACCATTTGGGCTTCTGAAATAGAGCACAACAGCCGATGTGGGTATATGAAGAGGGTGGGGGGCTTGCCTGTGACAGGTCCAGCTCTACCTATCCTGATGGTCATCTCATCAGGGTCTGGAAGCTGGAACAACGGATCCTCGTCTTTTTCCTTTCCCACTTTGGAGTCACGGGGCAGAGCCAAGGCGGCCTGGGGGTCGATGCAGATGCCCTGATGACAGCAGAAGAAGACAGAAACGCAGATGTCAGGTCAAACTGAGTTCGACCTCAATCACCAGACTGAGAAACAACAGTTTTGTTTTTTTTTTATTAAAAAAAAAAAAAAAAATAAAAAATAATAATAATAATAATAATAATTCATCTCTGTAACTGATCTCACCAAGTATTCAAAGTATTTTGTCCTTTCAGGGGGGTTGTAGTAACATGTAAGTGACTTTTTGTACAGCACCTTGCAAATGGATTTATGTAGGTTGTTTTTGTCCAACATGGAGAGTTTATATATATATATATATATATATATATATATATATATATATATATATATATAATTCTTGTCACATTTTTTTATGTGATAATTGTACATGATATGAAAAGGAACCAACGAAACTCCAAAGTGAACCCAGGAAAAAGAACTATCTGGATGTATGAGCCGTCATTATGATGATTTCCTGCTTACAGTTAATCAAAACATGATGTTTAAAATTAAATTATATCAGACCAATAAAAAAAATACATAAATATATATTTGAGTGCTGACAACTTTCAAAAGTACATTTAAGGTGCATCAAAACACGTATTCTAGCTTTCTGACAATGGCTGTTAGTGTGCAATTGCTCTGTTTAACATAAAAGATATTCATCTCCCGTCTCTTTTTTGTCCATTTTTATTGGTAATGTAGGTTATAGGTACTCTTTGGATACAGTATATATCTCTCTTGTGTCAACAACATTTCTATACAAGTTAAGTGTATAGTGTATATTTTAGTCACCCGTAGTGATTTCTAGGGTATTTTAAAGCTACTTTCCTCAATGAAGACTTGGTAAAAGTGCACATTGCTGCTCTGTGACTTGTTAGCTTGGATTCCCCGACAGAATGAAACCTCGCTATTTATATCCAGAGACGTTCGAGAGCGTTTGCCATGAAACATACCCAAAAGAACGTTTTTGGGGCAAGTAATGTTTGACTTAATAGCTTTCAAATATCCAATCCAAAGATTCCCTGTCGTGATTCCGGCTGTGCACTCCTTTCCTTTCCAACAATTCTCCCCACTCCCCCCGTTTCCCGTTTGGTCTTGGGTGCTTGTGCATGCAAATCTCCGCTATTGCAAGAGTTAGTGTGTGTAGGTCTGGCACCACTTGCATCCCTCCAGACTCCACTTCAATCAGGCAGTCACACCTCGGCTTCATCAGCTCCCCTCCTGCAGTACGCCCACCCAACGCATCTCTGTCTGCCACTTACTGCGAAGGAATGGCTGAAAAGTTTGTCCTCAGTTCATTGTCAGTCACTCCTTGTTTCTTTTTTTTTTTTTTTGCTCAAGCTGCTGCCCTCGTTCAGGTTCACTTCCACATCTCTTGTAAGGCTGAGGAAGCACATGCCAGCCGCCACCTGCAGTCCCCCACCAGCCAACTTGTTACTTCTAACAACAGTAATCCGTCAGGCAGCAACAGGAGAGATTCAACGAACTGTTATTTAGTCCTCTCTCAACTTAGCTCAAGAGTGAACCTTGCTACGCTCCACACTTTCAAAATGAACCCACACACCTCAGCTTTGTGTCGCAGCATTCAAATTCATTTTGTACTGCAGATATGAATCAACAGTTTTTGTCTGAATAACAGAAAATTAATCCAACCTCCTCCTGCTCATAAAATCAGCAATATAACTTTCCATCTGGGGCCTTGCACTTTTGCACATTACAAAATGTTACAAACACACAGGTCACTGGGCTTAATTTGGAAATGTATCTGATAGGCTAATAAAAAGTAGCCAATTTCAGTGCAAGTGGGAGAAAAACTACAGTCAAGTATGACAAGTGTGCAACTGTCTTTGTGACAAAGTAGTTAAATTTCTACTTATTTACCACTTGTCCCTTAAAAATACTTCTACTTAACTTTACTTTCTAAAAATATCTAAACATTGCTGTCATAACTTTGCTTCACTTACTATCCCGACTTTGCTTCACTTACTATCCCGGGTTTGTCTGTGGTAGCATTACGTTGAAGTTTACATCCCTGCATGTTTTTTTGTTTTTTTTATCATTATTGCTCTTCTCTGCTGGGGTATGTAAACTTATGAGCACAACCGTAGCTATGGGAAAACTAAAGATTCTAAGGCGTTGTGCACACGTAACCAGATCTTTATAAAAACATACATCTCTGCCACATCATTTTAAAACAGCAATATCATATACATGGGATCTGTTTCAGAAAAGTTTTCATCCATAAGCAGCACAAATCCACCCTTTCGCATCGTTTTAAACATGCCAAACCCATAGGGGGCAGTGCAGCGCACAGCTAAGACCTACAACCGCAACTTCCTTTTAGGAATTAAACATGGCATCCATCAGTAGGTTCATTTGTGTGGACCAAAAAATAAATTGAACTACTTTTAATTAACATATTCAGATGTAATGTTAATAAAACACAAGAGAATGTTGATTGGGAATCATGTCAAAGCAAGAATGTGGTTATATTGATGCATTATTTGTCACAGATTATAATGCATGGGATCAGAAATCTCCATTTTCCTCAAGGACGCACAAAAACACAAATATGGAGGTTTCATAAATAATTTTTAGTGGTATGAAACCGAGTTTTTATGTGGATGAGAGGCCAAAACACATAAAAATGCATTTGTTTTCCCAAATATCTGCTGTGTGTGGGCTACGCCAAACCTGTGCAGAAACTACACCGTCTCCATAGAAGCCAAAAGGGAGAGTTGCCAAAAGGGATTGCTACTCAAACGTGCAAAACAAATGGATCGGCATACGTGAGAACATCTATAAGAGCAGGAGTTTGGCCAGTTTCTGCTCTGAGTCATTAAAGTGCTCAGAAAATGTACGACAGAACATCTGATGAGGAATCAGCTGTGTCAAATTCCACCTTCCCCTAACAATGCTCAAATTTAAAAAAATATTTTAACAAATTCAATTTCAAAAACTATCTGAAGCTAACACAAATATTAGACCAAACAACAAATTAACCACATAGACAGGTGTGGGCCTAATTAAGTGGTTTTTGAAAACTGGTGAATTTAATGAACCCAGAGGCAGCATATTCATTAGTAAGCCATTAGCAGAGTAAGGCCCAAAAGCGGGGGTTAAAAAAGATGGAATAACACTTGCTGGCATTTATTTTTCATCCCGTTTCAATTGGCAATGATTGCATCACAGCTGGTCTAAAAGCAGGTAGAGTGATTAAAATGCTTCTGTGTGCACAGATTGTACTGCGTACACAAATCTAACTGAAATTAAGGGACCTTTACAAATAAATCCCTGAAAACTTCACCCAAAGTTATGAAGAAGATTGCTTTGAAATTCTTCTGCAGTGCTGAGAAGAAGTGACCGTGCAGAACTTTAGTCTTGCTGCTAAGAAATGGCTGGGAGAAGGAGTGACTTCAAATAGTTTAGGATAAGAAGATCTTAAAGAGCTGCCAAAACACTGAGATGGTATGATCCTCTATATGGCAAACTCTAGACATTACAGTTTTATGTTCCTATTGAGATGCAAGTGACTCATTTCCTTTCAAGTACAAATAAAAAAAAATAAAAAATCTGAATCAGAATCAGTTTTATTGGTTACGATTGTGTGCAGAAACAAGGAATCTGACTTTAGTTTTCAACCATTCACGCCGGTCACTGGATCAGACAAAGACGGGTGTCATTTCAAACTACAGGAGTTTCACAGACTGGTTTGCTGAGGAGGAGTAATTTGTATACATGGAGAAGATTAGTGGAGAGATAACACATCCCTGGGGGACGCCAGTTCTGGTGGTTATTGTGCAGGAGGAGATTAGCTAAAAAGAAAAAATACCATAAAAACTAGACTCTATTGATCTGTCAAATAACGTCCATGGTGTGCTTCAGCAGAAGGCACTGAAGTAAGGCAGTGTTATTAAAACCACCAACGAGGACAAAGTGTTACAGCTGCATGTAGGACTTTAGAGCTGCACAAGGAAGGATTTTTAAAGATGTTTTGTTCTCACGACGTGAAGAATAAGCCTAGAGTAGCAGTTTTCACCTCCAGCTCCTATTAGCTGCATAGTGACTAATGGCAAATTAACATTTTACTGGATGGTGTGTTTTGTCTGTTTGACTGGTTAGAAGCTAACTGAGGTGGCTTTACTGCTATTCATTTATACAAGGGTCTGATTATATTCAGCAGAATATAATCAAAAAAGATGGAATATAGTCAAAGAAGTGTCTACAACAAGAGTTATATACAACGCCTATTTGTAATTCAGGATTAGTAGATTCAACTACTCACCGATTTTTCTGTGGAACGCAACTTCAAATTGTTTGAGGAATGTCATTAATTTTTTATTTTTTTTAAACATCTATATTTTTAAAAAGAAAATGGAGCTTGAGAAGCTACAATACCTAGGCTGAATGCTACTTGACATATTGACTGGTGCGCTGTTCATTTTCTTTGATTGAGTGAAGGAAGGCAAGGAAGCCTGTGGATGTTGGCTTCTGTGGTAGTGCTAAGATGGTTTCCATTGTGTATATTCATATTTAATAAGGAATATGTGGAGCGTAACCTATTAAAATAGAAAGTTATATGTAATTTTAGGGGAACTCTCAAGTATTCGCAGGTGGTTGTGGTCCCAAACCCCTGCAAATAAGTGGTCCACTTTATGTATATAGTTTTGTCTCAAAGCCCATTTATTTTAAGGTGGTTCAAAGCCCAAATGTGTCAGTGAGTTAGTTATATTTTCTACACCAGATTATAGTTCATCTCTCAAAGCAAAGGGTGGTTTTACAAAGCATTGATTGTGCAGAACTGAATATTTTTTCTGATTTGTTGTTCCAATAAAATAGAGTCAAGTTTGTGGTCTTAGTGTGACAAACTGTGAAAAATTATTCATACTTTTACTGGACACTAAATGATTACTATTTATTTTAAAAACCTGGTACGATCCAGAAACAGTAGGAAAGACAAAAGTGAACATTTGGTGTCATTGTTTGCCTGAGAGCGTGGCGTGACCGCCAGCCAA